TCGGGGGTTTAAATGGAGAGAAAATGTTTTGAGAAATGATGTACAAATACGCTTTACACAATTGATGTGTGTATGGATTGGGATAACAGTTGTATGAACCCCTAATAAAATGTTTAAATAAATAAATAAATAAAAAGGAAATCACTTGCTACATGATTAAGTAGCTTCTTCTCTGCTTAAACTTTTGCTATGGATTTGCTACTTTAGGTCACTTAAATGTATACCTCCATACATTTTCATTTCTATCACTACTGATAACCTTTCCTAGAACAGTCTCAACAAAATGCGAAGTAAACACGTGGCTATAGATGTTAAAATTTACTTTTATAAACAGGAAACACAAGTAAACCAACCATAGCCACCCATTTGTTGACCAAACACGTTTTCTCAAGTAGCTTATAAATCTTTAAACAGTAAGTTGTCCCCTTGATTTGCCACAAGTCCTCTTAAAAATGAAACTTTTCTTTGCTCATTAATGCAGAAAATCCACTTAAAAGATTCCATGGGGCTTACTATTCAGACCTGAGGCATTGCGATCAGTAACTCTGCCCTAGAGCACCACTTTAAAATCACACGGCTGTCCAAGCCTACCTCTGAAAACAGCTTTTGCCATCGTGATCCTTCAGGTCTTATTGGCTGTAATTAGAATTCATGATTAGTAATCTTTGAAGTTACCTTTTTCTTCGCGAACTTGGCAAAAACCAAACCTAGGGAGGAATAGGTCTATCAGTCAGTTTGGACTGGACAGCAGTTAGGTTTGACCATCCTTTGATGCCAATTTCTTAAGCCTCTGTAGTTCATGAAAATGCAGGAAGTTGACATTGCTTTGTGTACATATTGAATCTGAGAGTGCTATCAAAGTCCTAGGACTATGGATTGGACTAATCTAGCCTCTAGTCAGGTCGGGTCTCCGTTCCACTTTCTGTGGCCAGACACCGCTGAGTTCAAAAATCACGTACCTTCATTCAGTCATCATCCCTCTTCCTCCTAGGACATGCGGAGAAGCTTCTGGCCTCAGCCACCACGGCTGCTGCCACTAAGAAAACTAAGCCCAAGGAAGGCCGTCACTCACAAACTGCAAAGTGTTGTTGAAGTCCCCTCCAAACACCCCGAGCGACCTCTGCTGTCACTGACCAAGAAGTCACCAAAATGTATTCTGAACTACATCTTTGGCAAAAATTTGTGAAGTTGAAAATAATTAATCTTGAAACGCCCACCATTGGAAAACTGTCCTTTAGTTAACCACTGTGCCATAAGCAACCACTTAGAATTCCATATTTGGTCTTCTACACAGTATGGGTTTCTTAATCAATCTCTTTCTTTGCTTAATGAGATTTCTCAATACACTGAATCTAGAATTCTCTCTCATGAATATAGAGATGCACATAAATTTTGAAACAAATCTTAATAATCCCAAATGCTTTCATAAAATAGGGCTTTCTCCAAACTTCCTCAGGTAGCATATCTCAGGGCAAATCTCCCAAAATTATCCAAAATGCCCACATTTTTTCAGGGCTTATCTCCCAAAATTCTGCCCACATTATCAAGATAAAGTCTGATGTGTAAAACCATCGGGTAACTCACAATTAAAAAAACAAACTGTTAATAAAGCTTTATGTTCCATGAAAACAACTCCCTAGGGCATGATTTGTAAATACAACGATTTTGTAAATACACCTTGTGGAAAACCAGTGGGAATTAAATAGTGATATTCTAAAACTGCACAATTGTTCCCCCACTCTTTTCCCACACCAATATTTAGTCCTTTAAAATGACAGGGGGGGGAAAAAAAACAAGAACTCATAGGTTTAATGGGTTTAATAAATGCACCCCTTTAGTTCCTATGTTCAGCACCCAGTATTCCTTTGAAATAACACAGACCCAGCAATGGCCCACAACAGTACATCTCAGGCTTCCCGAGTTCATGTTCACTGAGCATTCTGGGTTGCAGCGGCACTTGTCCAGAACTGGGAACGCGCCGTAGTTGGGGTACTCTATGTATCGTGAAGAAGGTCTTTCCGCCAGAGTTAGAAAGAAGGCCACGCCTCACAACGCAACAGATCTGTGAGATCTTTCCTCCGGTCGCATCTCGTCAGAGGCATTTCTTCTTTCTTTTTTTTTTTGCAGTGGAACAAAATAAAGACCAAAACCTAACCTGAGTTACAAAACAAGAAGACAGTGATGGCTATAAAAAGGGTGGCCAGGAGCAACGGAAGGACTCCTTTTTCCAGCCACATCCAATGTATGTGCTTCACAGAAAAAAACAAGAAAAACAAGTCCATTAATCACAACAGATAGATTGCAAAATCCCTTCATCCTAGGGTGGGAGGCAGGAAGGTAAGGCCGGAGGATAAATGGCACAGGAAGAAAAATGAGCATTTCCAGATCGGTCCAGACACAGGCTTCAGCAAATGCTAAAACATAGCGACAGAAAAATCTGTGGTATTTCAGACTCAAGGTGTTAAAACTCCACTTCCTGGTATCAGGAAGATTCTGACCGAGTGTGCCAAAATCCCAATTCCTCAGAGAAGGGAATAGGCAAAGAGCCCTTGGCAGAGAGAGCCCTGCCTTCCCTGGGTAGGGGAAGACCAGGGAAATGAGCTGCCACACCCTCCTTCCAATCCCTCCTACACCTTATGCATGGCGGGAAAAATCAGTGGCCTGCAGCAGCCTTCGGTTTGGCAGGAGACGGATGTGGCGAAGAGGCCTTTTCTGCAGAAGCCGGGCTACTCAGGACTGACTGCAGGTAGACCGTTTTCTGGAAGAGTTTGTTGCTTAAGAAGACCACGATGGAGAACAGGCGCAACTGGAAAAGGCTAAAAGACAAGATATCCGACTCATTAGATTTACATACGAACAAAAATTGTTTGTGACACAACAGCTACTTTGCAATACATTCAAAAGCACAGTGAAAAGCAAAAGAAGTGGCAGTTGGTTAAGGAAGTGTAGCTATTCAGACCCACGGATTGTACGGGGAGCAACTACAGAATGCACTGGGTCCACTGCTGCTGGGAATGGACAGCAATCACCAATTTTGAAACACTTAGAAGACATTTATTTCAGATTCAAGAGGTGCTTTTATATGGCTGATTTCAGGTATGAAATTCAAACAATACCTGAAGATATTATATGCTACATACGGCTCAATTCCATGAAAAATGCAATATACCCACTAAGACACACACAGTGTTTTCCTGGGCAGCAAGTTCATGCCAAACCCCAAAATAGATGTGAGATTTCTAATACAAATATCTTCAGTTACTTAAACAAAATTGTTTAGAATATCACAGAACATACAAGAGTGAGCTTACTTTGAAATGATCAAATATTTAATTTAGAGTGCTACTGGTAATGCTAAAGTCATTTGAAAACATACATTTTATCATCATTACTGATAAACTCATGTGAGCAGATAATATGCCAGTTCCTTCTTTAAAAACGTGTCCAGAAGGAGGGTGAGGGAGGGAGGGAGGGAGGGAGGGAGGAGGAAAAATGAGGAGCTGATACCAAGGGTTCAAGTAAAATGAAAATGTTTTGAAAATGATGATGGCAACAAATGTACGCATTTGAAAAGAGCTGTATGAGCCCTCAATAAGTAATTAAAAACAAACCCAAAAAAGTGTCCATTCTTACAAAAATAACCCTTACTTAAGGTGTGTTTACAAGTGCTTTCTTAATTGTTAAATTTTACAAGATTATATATTTATGTGTACATATACATAACAAAAAGCTTAGAATAGATCTCAGAAGATTCCCCCCCCTCCCCCCCGCTCTAAAAACAGTACATTGAAGTTTTCCTGCAATCAAGGAATCTATTGTTTTAACTCCCATTCCCATAATTGTGGCATTATAGCCTGAAACCCTTACAAGGCAAAGACTTCATTTGTCACTGGTAAATACTTACTATGCTTTGCCAGGGGTCTTGGCTTCGTTGGCGCTGATAATAAATAAAGGGAAAAGAATGGAAAAGAGACAGCCGCTGTAAAAAGAAAAGGTGGTTATCAAATTACTATTTACAGCCATGACTTTGAAGGTATTAAAAACTCTCAACTCCTTCCCCTCCAGTGCAAACTTCATTTCTCTGTGAAACCTTAACATAGCAACTGAGTTCCCAAAAGAGCAAAGGTTTTGATTTGTTTTGTTTTTAAAGCACTAGCTATATTTAACAGAGCCCCAGAAGGCAATAAAATTCAAAATTGTCAAGACTTAATTAAAGGCCAAGTGGTAAATATCTGTAAAAAAAAGCCTATAGATGACCAATTAAGGTTGCATGCCTAACATAGTAGCAAACAAAAAGAATGCATTGGTACGTGGCTCTTTATTTTGATTAAACAACAACAAAAAACTAAACCCACTACTATCAATTCCCAAACTAACTCACGCAGAGACCTTACAAGGCACAATAGAAATTCCCATAGCTTTTCTGAGGCCATAAAATCTTTATAGAAGCAGCCTGCCACAACTTTCTCTTGTGGAGCAGCTGGTGGGTTTGAATCACTAGCCTTTCAGTTAGTAGTCAAGCACTTTAACCACTGTGCTATCAGGACTCTTTTATTCTGACTAGTCCCTTTGCAATCTCTTTAGTCAAATTACCTGATAATGTATGAGGACTGCATTGCTGTTAGGAAAGCCAAGGGCAAGCCAAAGCCAAAGTAGTAAGGCCAATTCTTTTCTATGTTTGACAGCCGCTGGTGCATTTCAATTCCTGAAAGGGAGGCAATACAATTAGACTGCACATTTCATTTTAATGAGGACAGAGAAACTACTTGAAGGCTGAGTTTTAGTTATAGATCTGCCATCTAGAGCAGTGGTTCTCAACCTTCCTCATGCCACAATCCTGTAATACAGTTCCTCATGTGGTGGTGACCCCCAACCATGACATTATTTCGTTGCTACTTCATAACTGATTTTGCTACTGTTTTGAATCGTCATGTAAATATCTGATATGCGGGATGTAGTTTCATTGTTGCAAATTGAACATAATTAAAGCAGTGATTAATCACAACATGTAATTATGAAATAGTTCTAATTACAAAGAAGTGAAATTTTGTCGTGAGGCATGGGGTAGCATGGGTAACAGTCTTCATATAGCAACAGTAGATGACACCGCTACATTTTGAGCAGCGTGTGTAAAAAGCCAGTGTCGGTGCGACGGTTGCGCTATGAGCGGTGTCACGTGCCTAGACCATCGGAAACACCTGTTTTCCCATGGTCTCAGGCAACTCCTGTGAAAGGGTGACGCGACCAAAATCGGGGTCACAACCCACAGGTTGAGACGGGCTGATCTAGAAGATAACTGCTGGTTTATAAATTAGAATTGTGTGAATCCAAAATACAGCTTTTATTCAATGTGTTTAAAGGTCAATAATCCCAATTTCACAGCCGGCAGGATAAATGAATTATAAATTGCAGCACTGACACCTTTTATCAGGATTAGTGCCTGTAACAAACCGAGTTATCAAAATAAAAGCAAGTTTACACCACTTAGGCATAATGCAAGCTCCCTCTTGGCTATGGGGCTGTTTCCTTCTACAGATTGTCTATGCACCAAGGAGTTTAACAAAAGTCTACTGAGCAGTAGCATTTTTAAACAAGGTCTCAACTTCTGTTTATTTCTGTTCAAAAGGTAGACTTACCTTTATTGAACCAGCGGTATTCAAAGCAGTATAATGAATACAGAAGGGACATATGCAGGAGACTAACCAGCTGACCAACAAGATAGATGGGGAAGAGACTCACAAACAAACCCTGAAGAACAAATACGAAGATCTTAATTCCAAAAGCCAGAAACCTAACACTACTCACTCACTAAGACTTTTAAATTCTCTTAATATATTTGCTCTGTGTAAAGATAACTTAAACACTTCACCAAGTCCAACTGATGCTCCAGGATGATTTGCTTATGTTACACAATGACTTCCCAGTCCCCAGAAAGATACACATATGCTATTTACATGTCACCACCCTTCCCTTGGGAAGCGCCCCCAGTGAAGCTCTTTTTAGCTGTGTCCATGAGCCTACAAGGCTGGTCTCACCTGAAGAAGAAAGAGAGCTTGCAGCAAAAGGTTGAAGAGCATGTCAGCAATTATTTTGCTGGAACTAGGGAACGGCTGCATCTTCCTTCCTGACAACTGAAATGCCAAATCGGCTATATCCTGTAATGGAAGAAAAGTAGCTCCATCAAACTGAAGTTAAACGAGCCCCGTATATGTCACTGTTCTGCCACTAGAACTACCAACTGAGAAAAACATCCAGACATCTGACCTGAGAAAAACTATTCCATTGTACAATAGCACAAAGTTCACCTACTGGCTGCATGGCCAAGAACGTTTACAGTGAGCAATAAACTCACTACATAACCACTGTCCTCACCAGCTGAAACCCGCCAGCATTCAATCAATCATATTGTAGGACTCATAGTCCTTCTGCCCTGGACCTACCTGAAACCAAATGGCATTGACAACTTTGCTAAGCACAAACAGTGGGAGTACCCAAAGAGCACTGAAAATTGATGTGAGGAAGAATTCCAGCCACGACCAAACATCTCCATGTAGTGATGGATCACCTGAGGAAAAAAGATTAGTTCAACCAGAGAAATGAAAACCAACCAAACAAAAGATCCAAAATGAAATTCCCATTTTGTGACTATGCTATTTTGCCGCACATATAAAAGCGCTTTAAAAAGTTTGTGGGAAATACTCATTATCTTTCAATTCCAATTTTCCACAAACTTTCTGAAGCCCCCTAGTATTTGCTTCATGCTAAACTTCACTATTCCTAGTTCATGTAGTTTTATTCCTTCTTGTATGGAGCTGTGTGGCAATAGTGGTTAAGTGCTGAGCTCCTAACTAAAAGATTAGCAGTTCAAACCCACCAGCTGCTTCTCAAGAAAGATATGGACTAGTAAGCTTCTGTTAAAAAGGATGATAGCAGAAGAATTCACTTCAGCGGACAGCACTGAAACTACAGCTCGGGGAGAGGGACATGTCTGATCAGATCACACGGGAGCAAATGAAGGGGGAGGAAGAGAGAATGGAGCACATCCTGGCCCACCAAGCCTTGAGGACGATATCCCCACTCAGAGCAGCCAATGCACAAAGAGGATCATATGGCCAACCCCACTATGAGACACGACATCCCTCACTGACCCATAGCCCTACAGGGGAACAACACTGAAGGCACAGTATGGGAATTGTGCCCAATTTGAGGCAAAACACTAAGGGCATGCAACAGAACAGCAAGGAGAGCAGAACAAGGAAGTCCTGAGGGAGTACCAAAAATAGACTTTGGGGCCAGGGCATGGCACCCCATCAGATTTCACCAGTAAACACTCCTAAAGGCCAACAAACAGACCTAAACTATTTACAGGCTTTTCTTTTCTTTCTTTTTTTTCCTTATTGTTTTTCTGTAGTTGTTTTCTTTTATTTGTTTTGCTGTCTTGTTTTTTGTGCATATTATCTCTGCAGGTCTATCTAGATAAGATAGGAGGGATAAGTAATCTGGAGGAGAAAACAACGGGTCCGGGGTCCGACAGTTCCAGGGGGACATGGGAGAGGGGGAGGTGGGGGAAAGGAAGTGGTGTTAACAAACCCAGGGACAAGGGAACAAGTGATTCAAAATCAATGGCGAGGAGGGTATAGGAGGCCTGGTAGGGCGTGATCAAGGGCAATGTTACCAAGAGGAATTACTGAAACCCAAATGAAGGCTGAGCATGACAGTGGGACAAGAGGAAAGTAAAAGGAAATAAGAGGAAAGAACTAGGAGGCAAAGGGCATTTATGGAGTTCTAAATACAGGCATGTACATATGTAAATATATTTATATATGGCGACAGGGAAATAGATCTATGTGCATATATTTATAGGTTGAGTATTAAGGTAGCAGATGGACATTGGACCTCCACTCAAGTACTCCCTCAATGAAAGAACACTTTGTTCTATTAATCTGACATTCCATGACGCTCACCTTCCCTACACGATCGCTGAAGGCAAAGCGGGTGCATAAGCAAATATGGTGAAGAAAGCTGATGGTGCCCAGCTATCAAAAGATATAGCATCTGGGGTCTTAAAGGCTTGAAGATAAATAAACAAGTGGCCATGTAGCTGAGAAGCAACAAAACCCACATGGAAGAAGCACACCAGCCTGTGTGATCACAAGGTGTCAAAGGGATCAGGTATCAGGCATCCAAGAACAAAAATCACATCATTTACGAACGAGGGGGAGTGCAGAGTGGGGACCCAAAGCCCATCTGTAACCAACTGGACATCCCATTATAGAAGGGTTGCGGAGAGGAGAAGAGCCAGTCAGGGTGTAGTGTAGCAACAATGCATACAACTTTCCTCCAGTTCCTAAATGCGTCCTCCCCCCTTACTATCATGATCCCAATTCTACTTTACAAATCTGGCTAGACCAGAGGATGTACACTGGTACAGATAAGAACTGGAAACACAGGGAATCCAGGACAGATCAACCCCTCAGGACCAATAATGAGTACAGTAGTGATACTGGCAGGGGAAAGGGAAGGTGAGGTAGATATGGGAACCGATCACAAGGATCTACATATAACCCCCTCCCTGGGTGACAGACAACAGAAAAGTAGGTGAAGGGAGAAGCTGAACAGTGTAAGGTATGACAAAATAATAATTTAGAAATTACCGTGGGTTTGTGAGGGAGGTGGGGCAGGGGGGCGGATGAGGAGCTGATACCAAGCGCTCAAGTTGAAAGCAAATGTTTTAAGAACAATGGTGGCAACAAATGTACAAATGTGCTTGACACAATGGATGGATGTACGGATTGAGATAAGAGTTGTACGAGCCCCAATAACATGATTTTTAAGAGGTAAAACAAAAAGGCTCATAGTCTGGCAATGTATGAGGCAGTTCTACTTTGTCCGATAGGGCAATGTGTTGACATCAGTGTGGTGGCCAGGTTTTTTTTTGCCTTTCCAAGTTGCTGGATGCTGTTGAGTTTCTTTTTTGACTCCTAATAATCCCATGTGACAGAGTCAAGTTGCTCCGTTGGATTTTCTTTACCAGAACAGATCCCTAGGTCTTTCTTGTATGATGTTGTTGGTGGGTTTGAATCAAGAATTAGCAGCAAATGTTTTACTATTGTGTAAAGGATTCACAAAAGTCTAGGTCACAACTGATTGAGAGTAATTATATAGAAGCTACGAACTCAGAGTGTATCTGTTTATGTGACAGTGACTGCAATGCCACAGAATGATAGTACACAGTTTATACCAAAAACACATTTAAATTCCAGTTCTGTTGCACACAGAACTGAAGGTGGTGAAGCAAAATTTCCTACTATGGCTTTTGTGTCCATTTCTCTGTAACTCCCACCAAATGCCTGGGTAGGATGGGGCAAATAAGGAGTAGAGAATTGGCCAGTCTTGTCATTTCTCTGGCTTTAAGAGAGCCATCTCAAAGGCCATAATCTTGGGACTGACCCCCACCCCCCACAAGAAAGAGCAGCCACCAGAGGAATGCATGTGCGATCCCGATCTAAAATGGGGGGGCACCATAGGCTGCAGTGCTGAGACCAGAGACCGTGAGACAGAACAATGGGTGAGCTTCCCGACCCCGGGAACATGGCAGAGGCCACGGGACCACATAGCCTGCGAGACTGGTGATCAGGGAGACGCGCGGCTGCTGGCTAAGAAGAGACGCTAAAGATACTGAAGGATATACAAAGATTATATCCTTAATCCCGGAGTGTGGTAACCAGTTAACTTCCCTAATAAATCCCCACAATTGAGTATTGCCTGTGAGCTGCTGTGGCCACTGTGATGAATTCTCAAACTCAATAGAAAGTAAGAGCTGTGAGAAACGAAACGATTTAAAGAAGGATGACCTCTGCCTTGTCATCCCATTGGCACGGGGCTGGTGTGGAGTTGGATTCTCCTTTGTGTGACCAGAGGAAGTCAGATGTGGCCACCGAGATGTTTCTTCGCATACTAATGGCTTGATGTTAACTAATTTTCATTTCCTCATCCATAAAAAGATAGACTATCTATTTATTAATAGATAATATATCTATACAACCACTCTTAAATGGTTAAGCAATTTAAATAAAAAATGAGGAGGCTTGAATTAAATATACAAAAATGTTCAATAAAGTGAGGGAGACAGGAACCATCTCTTACCTCCATCCCTAAGAAAAAGTAAGAACTACTTACCAATAATCTTTGCTGTTACATATTGAAGCGCAGGAATAAACCCTCGATAAAAGAAGAAGAGGCTAAACTAAAGGAAAAAAATAGTAAGACCACATCAAGAACACCTTTGAAATAGAGAGCTCCAAGTAACTATTTTACAGATAAGATTATATAATTAGGGGACCTGCCACTCTTCCAACTATCATTATCCACACTATAATTCCATCCATTTTTATTTTTTAAAATTACTGCTGAGATTTACATGCTTTTAAAATAGTGGTTCACATTTCAAATATCTAGTCAAAATAAAGCTCTATGTAGTTGTTTTTTATTAACAGAAGAATTGAGTTACATTAATTCCAGGAGAAAGGAACCATTCACCCTCCTCTTCTACAAAGTGCCCAAATTTTACTTCAGGTTGCATTTACTAGTTCTTAGTGAATGTTTTTTTCCTGGTGTGGCTTTCCATGGTAATCAATTCTGGTAGACACCAAGACAGATGCACGAAGAAACCTTGCTCTTGTCCAACCATATGCGAGCTGACCCTCTGTACTTATTCAAAATAGCCAGTTAACAACAGAAAAAGCTGTTATTAATAAGAGCTGTAGAACCTGTGAATGGGTAACATTTTTTAAAAGCTGAATGTATATATTGAAGACTTTTCCGGACACTCATTCATATAGAATTGTACTGTCTTGAATGGAAACAAAATCCCTGCAAGTGCAGAGAATTAGATTTCAAAATGAAAGTCCACGTGCTGAAGCTACTTATCTCAGTGTCTCAAAGAACAGTCTGCAGTGCCTGTAAGACCAAAGGTAACCACGAGGCATACGAAATTTGAAGAACTCACCCAGAATATTCCTCCATTCCAAGCACAGCACAGGAAAATTCTATTAACAATATACGGCTCACTGGAAAAGACCAGACACTCAGCTTAGGTTCTCACTGGTATTCAGTAGCTTCCTATTTTATTTTATACATGTTTTATAAAAATACTATGAGATGTTATTTCAATCATTCTTACATGTGCACTTCAGTAATATTAATCACATCCCATGTGCCACCTTGGTGTCCAACTGTAATCATGATCAATTTCACTAGCAAACGACTTTGGTCTAGCAAGATTATTGCTAGAGCCAATAATTCAACATAAAGAACAAAACACACACACACACACACATATACATCATCAACAAATTTTTTTCTGGAAACAAAAAAGACACCTGGCTCACAGTTGTAGTCAATTCTAACTCACACCAACTCTACAGGACAGAGAACTGCCCCACAGGGTTTCTAAGACTATGAACTTTGAAGAAGCAGAGTATCCTATATTTCTCCCAAGGACCTGCTAGAGGTTTTGAACCACTATCTGTCCAGCAGCCAAGTGCTTTAACCACTACCACATCATAAACACACGTGGGTTAGACAACAAAAAAGTGGGTGAAGGGAGACATCGGACAGTGTAAGACATGAAAAAATAGCAATAATTTATAAAGTACCAAGGGTGTGTGAGGGAAGGGGGGTGGGAGAGGGAGGGGGGAAAATAAGGAGCTGATACTAAGGGCCCAAGTAGAAAGAAAATGTTTTGAGAATGATGAGGACAACAAATGTACAAATGTGCTTGACACAATTGATGTACGTATGGATTGTGTTAAAGAGTTGTACGAGCCCCCAATAAAATGATTAAAAACAACAAATACACATAGGTTACTCATATTCCCCAAATGCTGCCTTGAAGGCACAGAGGTTAAGCATTAGATCGCGAATGAAGAGGCCAGTGGTTCACACTCACTAGCCTTTTCGTGGGAGAACGCTGTGTCGGCTGCGTCTGTAAAGATTCGTCTTAGAAACCCCATGGCAGTTCTGTTCTGTTCGTTAGGGTAGTGAGGAGTGGGAATCAACTTTCCAGGAAGCATTTTTGTGATACTCCCCAAATCACGAAGGTTGGTCTTCACTCTGTACTAATTGGTCAATCTCCAAATCCCGCCCTTGGTTCTCTCCGACATCAGCCCACCCTCCTTACGCCTCTGGCTTCCGCTCTGGGCTCTGGGCTCTCCTCTGGGCGAGGACACTTGTCCTTCGATGGACTTCCTCTCTCTTTTGTTGAATTCGCGCATCCAACTTCGAGATGGTACAAATACCCCAGATGGAGTCCTTGATTCCCTACAAAGGAGAGTGAGAGAGGAGTTACCTAAAGTAAACTCAGAGTTGCAATGCAAAGCATCTTGGTTGCTTTGCTCCTTTTTAAAACTTTAAGATAACTTCTTACTTACAGAAGAATTGCGAGAATGGAGACCCTCCCCACACACAAATAGCCTTCATTCATATTTACCAGTTTTAATATTTTGCACATTATTATCCTCGTAAACAGGCATGAATCATGAGTAGATTGCTACATCACATCCCCTTTATACCTTTAATTCAGTGTATATTTCCTAACAACACAAATATTCTTTACATAAGCACAGTTTGGACCTAATTTAGTTTAGTAGTTACCAATTCATGAAATCCAATCTACACACACACACACACACACACACACACACACACACACACGCTGCTTTGCAAATGATTGTGACTCATACCAATCCTATGTAAGGTTTCTGACACAGTAATCTTTATAGGAACCAATAAACTCATCTTTCTCATAAAAAAGCTGGTGCTTTTGAACTATCAACCTAGTCGTTAGTAGCCCAACCCTCACCCAACAAGCACTACCAGGGCTCCTAGTCCACATACAGGGAGGCCTCAAAAGTTCATGAAAAACATTTCCATCTTTTAATTCTATCACACTCCCATGAACTTTCCGAAGCCTCCTTGTATAAAAGTCCTAGTAGGGCAAGTTTCCCCTCAGTTCCTTGCTAACAGGGAGGTCGGCAGTTCAAACCCACCCAGTGGTGCCATGACAAAGACCAGGCAATCTGCTTCTGGAAGACTAGCCCAGAAAAGCCTGTGGGCTGGAGTTCTGTCTCACGGGGCCACGCGCACCTGAAACTGACTCACTGGCACCCAACAATTCAGTGTCTCAACACTTGTCTCCATGGCATTTATAAGTCTTTCGAATCAGTTCAGAATCACATACTGCATTTAGATTCAATTAAAGAAATTCTATTAAATACTTTCTTTAATCAGAAAGCAGTACTTCTTATTAAAGAAACATAGTAAATAACTTCTGATTAGAGAAAGAACTTAATAGAATTCCTTTAATTTCTGTTTCATCATGATTAGACCCAAATTAAGCATTTTTAGCAAGATGACAACAGAAGTAATGCTGGGTCCCTTCAAAGTAGCACATCCGGAGGCATAAAATGTCTGTCTGCTCTATTTGTGAATTTAACTGCACCCAGCATCTTCACTGTCTGGCAATTATTCTTCTCCTTATAACTAGTAAGTCATCTGTGAGAACACTCTTTAGACCAGTGGTTCTCAAACTGTGGGTCGCAACTCCTTTGGGGGTCAAATGACCCTTTCACAGGGGTCATCTGAGACCATCGGAAAACGCTCAAATATTTCACAATACATAATTGCACATTGTTTTGTGATTAATCACTACACTTTGTTTAATTATGTTCAATTTGTAACAATGAAAAAACATCCTGCATATCAGATATTTACATGACGATTCATAACAGTAGCAAAATTACAGTTAGGAAGTAGCAATGAAAATATTATGTTATGGTTGGGGTCACCGCCACATGAGGAACTGCATGAAAGGGTCGCCATTTGGAAGGTTGGGAACCACTGTTTTAGACCATGCAACTACCTCACTCAACAAACTCTCAGCCCTTGTGTTTACCAGCCACAAACAGTTCTTTCAATTCAATCCTGAATAACATGGGTGCCAGAGAGTGATTTTCCAGTCCCTCAACACATATCAATAAGATAGACAGCTTATTATTTACTTTCAGTATTAATAAAATGCTTATTGTATCCTGTGTCATACACTGAAAGGCCCAAGGTTGGACCAAGAGTAGGGAAAAACAAAAAAATTTACTATAGAGGCATAAAAGCACTTTCATGATAAGGTGAAATTGTTAAGGCTCTTCTATCCACAGTCTTTTAACTCTCATTCTTTGGACAGGAGGCTGGCTTGCTCAGTGGGGTGCCATTTGGACATTCATTCACCAGTGCTAAAAGAGCTTTTTAACAGTTGCCCAAACAGGGCAGAGGTCAAGGGACCACGTGGTTGAGAAGTTCTAGATAAAAGAATCTTTTTATAATCTGTATTTTCCCTGATAAGCTATCATAATTTTGAATACTGCCAGTGAGTTCTATGTGGCCACGGTAATGGATTACCCCACCCAGCAGAGAAGTAGAGTGAGGGTCGGCTGGTGTCAGAATAGGATAAAGAAGGTTCCAGCACAGGAGGAAGGTGGAGGTATGTCTCAGCCCTGCCTCAGAAGAATCATCCTTGGAGAGACAAGGAGGTGAACACTCCTTATCCCTTGTATATCCGGAGGTTGTCAGATGTGGCCCCCACACCATTTTCTCTGCGATGGGAAGCACAACCCACTTGAGACAGAAGCAGTAGCATGCTAGTGCAGCTCCAGGAGAGTGTCTAAAGACAGTGGCAGAGGCACTTGCCAATCATACAAGGTTCCCACAGTACGAAGGTTTCTGTTGGTGCTACAAATATCAGAATTGTTCCTCATTTTCAAGAGCCGTATGCATCCACCTACGCACATACTGAGTATCTTCTATGAGGCAGGCACATTGAAATACTAGAGCAATAAGTGTAAACCGTCCCCTCCAAATATAACAAGTTACTGTTGAGTATTTCAACAGCTCAGCGAGTGGCCATCTAAGAAGCAACTATGAGCCTCTCTGTTCTAATGAAAGTTGAGTGATGAAAATCAAAGACACATGGAAATAATTAGTTCATAGACTAATTGACTACAAGAACATCAGACTTTAATTCTGAGGCCAGAAGAACTAGATAGTACCAGTACAAACTGCTGTGAGAGGATCGCGTCATAAGGTCCCGGAAAGAGTAGAAGTAAACATAGAACTCAAAATCTAAAAAGACCAAATTTACAGAGGAGAAGTGTAGTAAGTAAGAGGATTGCCATGCAAGAGATGAAACCAAATGGGAATGATTTGTTAAAGATAAAATTGATGATCTGCTCTGTAAACCTTTACTCAATCCACAGCAAAGTCAAAACAAACCATAAATAACAAGAAAAACAGGCTGGAGACAGGTAGCACCTGGAGACTATGATGCTTAGTCACCCTTCAGGTTGGGAAATGAACATATCCCCACGCTCAAAATTCAACCAAACAATAATCAGGTCAATATGGGGAACCACACATAACATTTGAGAGGTGGCACACTTAAAAATAATCATTTGCGATCCTAGGGGCAGCATTTTCCCAAAGACGAAGTTAAGGCAGGTTAGGAAAATAGAAGGAAGAGAAACAGGGAGGAAGTGAGATAAATGGTGTTTTATTGTTGGGACTGCAATCAATGAAATGAAATGTCAGTGTACTGCTGAGTGGTAAATGTATTTGCTCCATAAGCCCTCACTCAATCCAGACATTTTTTTTTTAATTGCACTCTAATAGATTTTAAGAGCATGGTAACATAGTTGTTAACTTGTTCAACTGCTAACTCAAAGGTCAGTGGTTTCTACTCACCAGCTGTTCTATGGGAGAAAGATGTGGCAATTTACTTTCATAGGGATTTATATATAGCCTTAGAAACCTTCTACTCTTGCCTACAGGGCCTCTATAAGTCAGAATGGACTCAATCACAGATACAACAGATTTTTGTCCAAAGCAGTGAGGTAGTCTTGGGAAGAGGCACAAAATGGAAGCTGATCGCTAAACCACCTTATTGTGTTCTCCTTTTGAAGGAGCCAAAACAAACTTCAGATAAACAGCCATAGTACACAGAAATAAATATTATGCACTATCTGTTGACAGGAGCATACATTGGCATAGTGAGCACCTAACTTTCTGCCTTTTGGTAATTTTTAGTCTCACTTTGTTTGGGATGCAAAAGGGCTTTTCCCCAGGTTGTCTCCCCCAAATATATGCCAAACCTAGGATGCTGCTTGCATCACATGGTAAATGACTGTACACTTTGAGGTCACAA